AGGAGATATTTCTTCTATTTCTCTGATAGCGCCGTCAGAAGATTATTCTCGCCATTTAATGCTTCTTTTAAGCCTTGTTGAACAAGTAGTGCCCTCATCTTCATTCGCCATATCCTGAAGTCGTTATTCCCCGTAAATCGCTCGATGTCGAACTTGGCGAACCCCATCGGAGTGAGGCTCTGATACCAATTTGTTAAAACTTGAACCCTAGAACAAGAACTATATCGAGAAATCACACCAGAAAATAACCAAGAAAGGAAATTTAGCACACTTAGAGAAGAAGTTAAGTCAACAGTATACTCAGAGTTTTTATTGTTGAGACAAAAGCTACAAATCACTCTTAGAGAAATTTACTCTTTACACCAGAGAATTTTTTGTCTCACCAGTCCAGTTACAATATGGACTACTGCACTTATTTATAATACATTTGTAAAATAACTACGGAACGACCATGAATGATCACTTTTTACAAAGAACAACCGGGTGGTCGTTCTTCATAAAAAGTAAAGAAGGTCATTTTGCCAATTTCATTTTGTTAGATAGTCATTCTAGCAAATTTCTCGAAGGTAAAGCCTAGAACTGAGAATATGGAGTAGTACTATCAGACTATTTACAAAACCCAAAATCTTGATATTTTGTGTGCTAGACCACACCTAACTTTACAACTGACCAATGTAATTCTGCCACCTCTGCACTTTTAATATCATATCACATTTAACAGTATATTATACCATTAATAACTACTGTCCATTCATTATTTGTTTATTTATTCTTTTGTGGTATAATACATTATCATTATGTCATGCGTTAGCACGGGTCGTGTTCGTGTTCGACTCTTTTATTAATAATGTCAAAAAACATCAAACCAAACACTGATTTATTTATTAAATGTGTTAAAAATGTCAACCTGCGGAACCTATTTAAATAAATAATTGATACAATTAGAATTTATTTAACACGATCATGATACGTTTAACATTTTATTGATCAATTTATTTTTTTAGGAAACAAGTAAAATTTGTCTAAAAATTTTGAAATTCGCGTTATTTGTATTTAGGATAATGCTAGGGACATCAACTTAAATTCTAACTCTTATGTATCAACAGATGTGATATGTGAAATATTATTTTTCTATTAGTGGGTGTTTAAAAATTGTCACTTCAATTATTGAAAGTAATTACATCTACTATCAACAGTTGGTATATAAAAATTGAGATTTGAATTGGTGTCTCTAGCAATACTCTTGTATTTAATGTATCATATAAATATTATCAAATATAAGTAATTTACATCCTCATAACTCATATAGTTAGTCGTGTCAATTTGAGTCACTTCGTGTTAGAAAGTCAACCCTAACTTAACTTATTTATTAATCGTGTTAATTCTATCAACTCGATTATGATTTAAACTCATTTATAATAAATCTAAATTTGCTAATTATGTACGGGTTTAGAGTAGTATTTTCATGTCATAAACCAAACTGCAATCCTTATTGTTTCATTGTCTCCAGTTCACTCATTTTATTTGAAGCTAAGAGAAATTATTAGGGCAAAATTAGTAGACAGAGTGCTGAAAGATTTCAGCCTTTTTTACATAATAACGTTACGTGTTTTTTATTTACGTCGTACATTTTGTTTTTGGTCGAAATTTATTTGTACATTTTATAGTTGACAATAAATAGTTTCACTCAATTCTGCTCTCAATTAATTTTGTACTTCACTTACGTTGTACCAAAACATCAACAGGGCCCTCACTTAATGCAGCGTTAATTAATTACTATTCTTCTTGTTGTGTTGTTTTTTTTTATTTTCATTTGATCTGTTAAAAACTTGAAGACGAAGAAGTAGCAACTAGCAGACCTAGCTAGTTTTATACAAGTTTATGCATGCATTTTACATAAAATCTTGTAAAATATGCTTTTAATATCTTAACATAAAATATGCATTTACATAAAATATGCATTTAATATCTTGCATTATAATAAAATATACTTTTAATACTATATATTTTTAATAATATTAAAATAATATCTTAACATTTTAAAAAAATATTTATTTAACACCTTCAAACCCTTTTTTAGAACATAAAATGTCATTTCTAGCCTTCTACTTAATTTGTTTAAAATTGAGTTTTACAAAACGTATTAACAATGTTAAAAAAAATCAAAAAATAAACTCAGATTTCATCATCTTTCTCCTCCCATTTGCAAACATCAAGAAAAAAAACCAAATTGCTGAAGTTCTTCAATCTCGCACTTAACAGAGAAGAACAAAAACAAAACTGATCAGCACTGAACAATCATTTAGATCTGTAAAGCAATAAACAATACTTTGATTTATAAATCAAAATCAAACCTAAAACACCACCTATATTCCCTTTAAAAAAAAAAAGAACCACCCATAGTTATCTTTAATCTCTATAGCTGACCATTTATCTACTTTACAATACAAATTTTTATTTTACATTTGGTTTGCATCCAACAAACACTCGCATCAAAGTTCGCCCAACCATAACACAAAATAGGCTTGGATGAACATGCTTAAAACTACCAAACAGAAGTGGAAGAGAAGGCGGACCCAGACCGATGCAACCCATCGACCCAGAGCCATGCGACTCAGCCATACGTGATCCGGCCCCAGCCACCAGCAACCTAGTTCTTTGTGGGTCACGAGTGTGGGTCTTGTTACCCACTTCTCTGTGTTTCTACAACCCATGCGACTTTCTTCTATAGATTTGAAGAAAATTGGAGTAAAGAAAAGAGAAGCCGAGAGAGAAGCACTTTTTTAAGGCAGCGAGCAGAAGGTGGGGAGGAAGACGGGCGGTAGGAGGATTTGAAGAATCCAAATCTAGATGGGAGGGGAATCTGGAGACGGATGGACGCTCAGATCTGAAACACGAGACATTCTCAGGCCCCGTTCATTTCGCTGATTCGAGTTTAGAATTCGAGTTTTGCTACAGTAAAAAGCTCTCACAAACAATCAAATCTAACTTTTTTGCTACAGTAAAAAGCTCTCACATAAAATTACATCTCAACTCAAATTAAAAACTCGAATCAACGAACTAAACGGACCCTCAGATCTCTTTGTTTGAGGCCTTTTTTAAAAAAAAATAATTTTGAAGAGTCTTAAATTATTTTTCAATTTAAATGCAATTTTGGGCCAACAATTGGAAAATAATCATATCCAAAAAATACTATGAAGGTACTGAAAAATATTTTTTAAAATGTTGGGATATTATTTTAATATTATTAAAAATATAAGATATTAAAGGACTGTTCTTTTACTTTTTTTGAGTTAGGTGATTTGAATGTAAATTTTGAGTTGAGTTGAGTTTGAATTATAACTTGAGTTGAAGTTGTAACTTGAGTTTGTGTTTAATTGTGTACATTTGAGTTATGGTTTGAGATAATAATCTTTTTGAGTTTGTGTTTGAGTGAGTCAAAATTTAAATTTGTATTTAGATAGTATTTTAATAAAAACTTAATGCTGATGGAAAATTTTAATAGGGTATATGGGTGGAGTTTTATTCATTTTTTCATTTTCAACGCATAGAAAAAAAAATCATCTCAATCAGAATTAAAACGAAAAAGTTATAGCATTTTTAAGCATAAAAAATATTGTTCATTAATTTGAGTTTGAGTTTCTGAACTCGAGTTGAAGGGAAAACTTGAACTCGAGTTTTAATCCTAAACTCGAGTTCAAACTTAAAAGAACATGAACTTGAATAAAATTGTAACTCGAGTTATTTTTTTTTTTTTAAGTTTTTAACTCAAGAATGAGGGTGCCGAACAGCTCCTAAGAATATATTTTGTTATAACACAGAAGTATTAAAATGATATTCTCTCTTTTTTTATTAAAAAAAACTGGACTTCTTTTCACCTTAGAAATATCAAAATTCAAAACATACAAATGGTTCTAAAATATTAGGTAAAGCATCTGAAAAAAAAAACTTTTCGCTACCTTGTACAATTTTCACAAACTGGTCAAGTGCAATTTTGTTAAGCTCAAAAGCCTTCACGTTAAAAATAAATAAATTCTTCATATTTTAAGACTAGCTAAAAAGTTTAGAATCTCTTACTTAAAAGGTAACAATTGATGTTAGTGGATCGTATTTGTATCAACTTATTTATTAATCGTGTGAGAAAATATCACCTTAAATACGATCTATTTATTAAACGTGTTAAAAATATCAATGCACGACCAATTTATTACTCGTGTTAATCTTGTCAATCTGTATAATCTGTTTAAATTAATATATTGAATAAATAAGTTATATAAATGACTTATTTAATACGGCCAAGACATGTTTAACACGTTTATTGGTCAATTTATCTTTTTCTTTACGAAAAATAAATGAATTTTCCATACAAATATTGAAATTCACATTATTTGTATTTAATATGTCATATAAACTTTCATGTTATATAACATATCATTAGATTGCAGATGATATACATAATTAATCGTGTCAATTTGTGTTATGATGACAACCCTAACCCAACCTATTTATTAATCATGTTAATCATGTGAATCTGATTATGATCCAAATCTATTTATAGTAAACCCAAACCCGCTAATTTCGTATGGGTTTCAAGTCGTGTCACTACCCGAATTGTCAGTCCTACTCTCTTTTTGTTTTTTGTTTTTTTTATAACTTTTTTTTTGTTTTTTTTTTGTTTTTTTGAAATACTAGTGTTTATGGCATCGACGAGACAGATGTGTATCTGCTAAAGATGAGCCTGATATGAGTAAAATAATTTTGTAACATATAAACCGTTCATTAGTGCCAATTGCCAAAGAGAGGGGCGGGGGGGTAATCACGCCAAAACGTTCCTGCACCAACACAATTTCATTTCAAAAGTCTCACAAGACGCCAAACCTCAGCTTACTGTCTAAATTTCTGAACCACATAAAACAAAGGAAAAAAAAACGAAAATGGAATTTGGTTTTAATTATAAGTGGCGTAAAATCAAAAACCAAATAATCTTTTGTGGCCATACAAACAAATTAAACCATGGCTGCAGCTCAAGCTTTACACTCTTTGGTCGTCGGAGGGCGAATAAACTCAGTACGCAGGCCAAGGCCGCCAACACCACCACCAACAAGAACATGGCATGTGAATGTTAGATTCCTCGTCCGTGCGGTTTCAGGAGAAGGCCCGCGCAAGCGCGAAAGATCGCCGCCTGGGGTCGACACCAGAATACATTGGGACAATGAAGACGAAGGTTGGGTTGGAGGAAGCAGTAGTTCCAGTACTAGCACTTCTGGCCAAGCTCATGACGATCAGAAAAACCTCTTGGGTGAGAAGTTTGCCGATTTGCTTAACCAGTCCGCCGATTCCCATTACCAGTGAGTCTTTCATTTTAGTTTAATTTCCTCCTAGCTCTTTCACTAATTACTTTAATTTATCATGCAACAATTTGAAATCGCCATTTTTGTTAGATGATATCGCCATTTTTGTTCAATAGATACCACTAGGATGAAGATTACTCATTCCTTATCTGAAATAAAAAATCTTTTGATAACACAGTTAATCCTATTTCTCAAAAAAAAAAAAAACCCCCACATATATATCTTCCTGTAATTGAAATTTCCCCTTTTATATTGCCTCAACTTTAGTCAGAAATGAAGGTAGATTCAGAAATATTTAAGTAAGCTAGCTAGCTAGTAACACCTCAAATGCTATGCTACGATTTCTTAATGGCAAATGTTGCTATTTCCGGTCCATCTCTCTGTACCAGACTCTAATCGAGCACTTGTTCATCCTAGACATAGAAAAAAGGAAAAGAACAAAAAAATAAAAATAAAAAACATGGATAAAGATTTTGGTATATTTGATATATAATATAATATGTAATCCTAATTGTTGTAGTTCATGACATTGGGCAGGTTCTTAGGAGTATCAGTAGAAGCCGATTTGGAAGAGATCAAAGCAGCATATAGGAGGCTATCAAAAGAGTACCATCCAGACACGACCAGTCTTCCCCTAAAAGCCGCATCAGACAAGTTCTTGAGGTTGAGAGAAGTGTATGATGTGCTTAGCAATGAAGAGAGCCGCCGGTTTTACGACTGGACGCTTGCTCAGGAGGCTGCGAGCCGCCAAGCTGAGAAAATGAGGGTGAAGTTGGAGGATCCTTATGAGCAAGACCTCAGGAACTATGAGCCCGTCCCCGAAGTGGTCGATCGTCTTGGTGGAAGGAACATGGACCTCAGTGATCAGGCTATGACCGCCCTTACTTTTGATGTTTTTATTGTTGTTTTTGCTATCTGCTGTATTATTTATGTCATCTTTTTCAAAGAACCATATTACTAGCTAGCTCCATATTCTATAACAGATACGCATATTACATATATGTATTCAAGCAACTGTGTATATACATGTGACTCCATGTATAGTGTATTGTAAGCTCTCCAAGTGATCATAAGCGCGGTTTGGCTTACAGATTGAGATGATGACATTTTATGTACGTAGGAGTTCACACAATCGTTCATCTTGTTGCAGTTGATAGAAGAGGTATAAATTCGGAAATCTACTCCAAAAATTACTTATTTATTTATTTTGAAATATGGAAAAGTGACTGAAGTTTTTATTTATTTATTTATTTTGAAAAATTACCCACCTCTCAAAAACAAGGATGAAGTGAAAGTCTCCAGCTAAAGAAAGAAAGAAAGACTCGTTGACGGTTGGTTCAATATTCAGTTGCTGGGTTATAAATTCAAAAAAGGTGAGTCAGTTAGTCAGTTGGACTAGATAGAGTTAATTAGTCAGATGTCATTTTGTAATTGGTTGCCAATATATATGGTCTATGAAGTGTTTGAGATATGAGCTGAATTCTAAAACCGAGTGTAGGCTTTGAGAATTCTAAATTCTCTATGAGAAAAATACACTTGTAGAATAAGAGAGTATTGGTGGTATGTAATGCCGTAGATTCTGTAAGTGTTTTTTCAAAGGAATAAAAACTCAAGATTTCTTCTGGAATTTCACTTCTTACTCTTGAGATTAAATTTTGTGATTTTTGCATTTTTCTTAACAAAAGTATAGTTTTGAGGAGAGATGAGAAGAGAATTAAAGGAAAAGAATTGGCTTTATTAAGGATTGAGTTTCGATCTAACTATAAGTCAACCTATTAAGTGAAGTAGCCTAATATTCTTATATGCGTGTGGCTATATTTATATTTAAATGATGTGAAACTTAAGTATTTGACTATTAACATGCCCTCGCTCGTTTGAGCAATGGACCTTGATATTATTTTAGAGTTTTGAGGAGAGATGAAAGAGAATAATTAGTTTTATTAGAGATTGAGCTTCCATCTTAAAAATGTCAACCTATTAAGTGGTGGTATGACCCAATATTCTTGTATGCATGTGTTACGTTTATATTTAGATTGAGCTTCCATCTTAAAAATGTCAACCTATTAAGTGGTAGTATGACTTAATTTTCTTGTATGTATGTGTTACGTTTATATTTAAACAATTCTAGACTCATGTATTTTACCTATTATAAACAATAATAGGAACTTTTGAGGGAAAAAAATTCAATAACACTACGAACTTGTGATTTTAATTAAAAACAAGAAAGTCAACTAGATACGAAACGACAAATTATTTACGGCTCGTTTAGTTAACTGATTTGAGTTTTTAATTCGAGTTGAGATGTATTTTACTGAGAGTTTTTTAAGAAAAGTTAAATGTGACTATTTTTAAAATTTTTTTTTTTATTATAGCAAAATGACTTACTGACATTCAAACTTCTAGATGGTATTACCATGTAAGTTGTAACAACGTCAGCAGATTATGAAAACCAATTACATGTCGTTTCTCCTTTCAGAAACGACAAAAAAGTTTAAAGTCATAAAGAACGTGGGGGTTAGCATACATTTCATGAACGACATGTCATTTCCATATTCTAAGCGAAAACAAGTTTTAAGATACAAACCATACAATAATAAGCTGCCACAAGCGTTAGAAAATGACTATAACGACAACGACGACAATAATAATCATAGAGCTTACGGTGTCATGAGATTCTTTTATTGTCAGATGTCAACTCTTTTTTTTTATTGTTATTTTTTTATCTTTAATAATTCCTTGGCTCCAAGATCCCAAAGGTCCAGATCCACAGTGAAGTCTGCCCAGTAATTTAGGTGTTCTTAACAACATTCGATCTCGCTCGTTCATCCTCTTCAACTGAAAAGTTTGGGATTGGCGTCCCTTCTGCAGTAGCCACGATCATTTCTTCATGGGATAATATTCTGTCAAGATTTATGTTGACGTAGAATTTCGCCAACAACCAAGAACTAAATTTCAAATGTGAAACTCGGTAGAAACGGATCACAGTAACGAGAAAACAAGAAAAAAGTAACTTAACAAGAAAGATGGAACGAAAAAAGTATGAATGTTATTGATTATCTTCGGAATGCACGCTCAGATCCTCTCAAACTCTCAAGAAACAATTTTGACAGAAAATAACTCTAGGACTCGAGAATTTCCGGAACGTCATACAGTCTTCTCCTCTCGTATTTATAGACCGTCTTCTTTAAGTAACCATTCCTCTATGAGTGTAACCGTCCGACCCACGTTTACCATTTCCGTGCTTCTTGCTTTTCTTCGGACATGACTTCTCGCTTTCCTCCGGATATAACCTCTCCCTTCCCTCATTGGTATTCCGACTGACGTGGTGATTTTCTTATTTCCCACTTGAAAAAGTTAGGCATAAGGTCCAACCTAAGATACCTGGCCTAAAACTACCAAGTCTGAATTATCATAGACTTGAGGCATTGGAGTCAGGGCATTGAGCCCGAGGTATAGAGCTCAAGGTATCGATCTCAAGATATTAAGCTCAGAGCGCCAAGTTCAAGGCATTGAGCTCAGGGTATCGTGAACAATGATAGCTTAAGCAAGGAATATAAATCAAATCAATATGGTTTCAGATGGGAATGTCTATTTTCAAAAGAGAAAAAATAAAGGTAAGGTCCATGTAGAAAAAAAAATGAAAACTTTTTTATCACCCTTCAATAATTATACAAGTATCCTATATTTTTTGTGACAAAAATATTCATTTGTTTCACAAAAAACTTTTCCAATAACAACTGCACTAAATTACATATTGTTTTGTAAAAATGCAAAAATAGAAAAGAAATTGAGTTAACAGTATAATAAATACAATAAAATCTTTTATTTTTGGAAGTTTCAACATAAAAAGCCTTTTTCTTATCTAGTTGGCTTGCCGCCAACCAAAAAACCCAAAGAATACATACATTGGAAAAGGGTTTTAGGGAATTTTTTATAATTTTTTTCCCAAAAAACCCAAAGGATACATACATTGGAAAAAATTCCCTAAAGAAAGAATACAACATTTTTGAAAAAAAAAAAAAAAAAAAAAAAAAAAAAAAAAAATTTTTTTTTTTTTATCCACAAGCAGAATGCTGGGCACTTCCGCCTGGGTTTTGATCCATAACAGGGCGTGTTACGGCCCAATGGAAGGAGCAGATGACCACACCCCTGAATCCCTTTATCTTATGTGTATATATGATATTAATATTATACGCATTTATAATCTATACTACATAAATAGATATCGTTAGGCGGTACTTAGGGTTCTTTTATTTTCTTGCTTCTTCACTTCATTTACTCTGAGGGCGATTGAATTTGGGCCTTTGGCCCTCCCCATTTTCTGTTGTTTCCTACCGATTGCCTAGAACTAGCTAGAGGTGTTTTTGGTTTGAAATCAAATAACAAAGGGAAAACATTTTCATTCTCCGATAGAATATTATAAACTATAATATATACATACATAAATGAAAGAAGATATTGTAGTGTGAAGTGTGAGAGGTTGGATTGGTAGCTGAGCGCTGATGATGAGCCGTCGTTTTCCTTACTTTTTACAATGTTATATCAGTTAAGTGTATTTGTTTTTGTTTTTGTTTCTGTTTTTTTTTTGTTTTTTTTTTGTTTTTTGTTTTCTTTTCCTGTTCATATCACAGCTCATTATCGGAAAATCCAGAGTTGGAGCCGAAGTTTCACAAGGAAAACTTACGCCTCCTTTCAATTTTTAAATGAAATTTTTTTATCAAATTGGCAATGACTTGTAAGTTGTAACGTGAGGAGGGACAAAGAACTGGATCGAAGCTGCAGTGAGTAGAGTTGTCAAAAGGCTGTGTCTTCTAATCTCAGGCCCACCACGCCAGGCACATCCTTGTACAGTACAGGACTGTGTCTGGGCTGGGCTTGAGGAAAGACCCTCAGGCCTATCCCTAGTCCAAGCCCCTTCATGGGCTGACACTGACCATTTTTAAATTGGTGAAGCTCAACGGTCCAATTTATGGCCGTTGAGCATGCACTGATCGACTGAAATGCACTGAATTCGTATTTATTATCATATTTAATGAAAAAAAGAAAATATATCATATGCTCTTAAAAGATGTGATTTTATTGAATTAAAATAATATGAATAAGTACACATAAATGTCTGTATTGTTAAAAATCTTACTAAGTAAAACCCGTAGAGAGATCAAGATAAAACCTTGGCGAAGGAAAAGAGAGTGCAGTATACAAGGATAAGTAAATTACACTATGGCCGAATTGCTTCCAAAAGATTCGGTTATGTCTAACTTTGAAAAAATAATCTAAAAGTGTATCATCTATATAATGTTGTTTTCAAAAAATTCTCCACCAAAAGGTGGTTTCAAATTTGCTTTGAATATGTTAATAACAACTGTGTTTGTAGATGCATTATCAAAAGGGATGGTTATCTTCAATGCCATAAAAATTAAAAATTTCCATAATAGTAGAAAAAATAGCATTTGCATTATGTGGAAAATGACATAAACGAAAACTAATAACTCGCTTTTGTAAAATCCAATTCCCGTCAACAAAATGTGCCATGACGCATAAATAACTAGTTTTATTACAATCCTCCCCGATATTAGATGTGCAAAAGACTGTAGCATCGAAAGACCTAAAATTATCAACAAGTGATTGTCTCATTGCATAAAAAAACTTTCATGCAATCAGCTCTAGTTGTGTTTCTACTTACCCATTTAACTTGTGGATAAAATGTCGTTTGAATAAATTCTTCAAATGCTGAATCATCTGTAAAAGATAATGGTAATTCGGCACTAGCTAAAAATTTAGCTAGTGCCTCACGAGCACGTTGTGCATCATATGAAAATTTTTATAAACCTTGTGTGTTGTGAGTGAAAGTGCTTGTTGGTGGGAGTCCACACTACCACCTTAGTGTAATGGTAGACATATTTTCCATTGTCTATCAAGATGGCCAATACCCCCACATTTTTTGTTAGAAAAGTTTTTTTTACAATATTTATATACCGCACGCATTTCAACTTCACTTGTTTTTAGATTAGGTCATAGCGATCATCAGTGAAATGTTGCCATGCAAGAGCAATGTGTAGTATTTTTTCCCTGGCATGTTCTCCAACATCCTTGTTGTGTACCGATTGATTATCAACCGGAACATTATCTGCATCAGTGGAGTTGGAGTTGTGCATCAATATTTTACCCTCAAAAAATGGTTGATCTCCAAAATTAGAGAAATCAAGAAAATTTCCTTCCGCCATTTTTTGTAAAAAAAAACATAAGTTAATGTTAACAAAAGGGTTTATTAACAATAAACAATGTAAATAAACATTAAATAGAAAAAAAATATTATACAAAAAATAATGAGAACAGTACGTCAGTACTTTTGTTTTTCGGGATGTAGCGGAATTCGATTGAAATTTGTA